ATTATGGTTTTGTTCCAAGTTGTTATGCTTGATTTATATGATTTGTCTGTTACAAACTTCCTAATTATTTTAATGTCCCTTAAAGTTAATAACTTACAAAAAAATGTTTAAACATGTTAAATTTGTGTCATTGCGTTGATATTTGGTAGTTGTACTTTACCTATCATTTATTTATTTGTTTCATTTATTTTTGTTATCTAATAATATGTTGTTGCCAGTTAGATTCTTTAAACCTACTAGTCTTCACCATCACAAAACACAAATATTTAAAGAGAAAATAAAAAAAATAATAAAAATATATCTATGAAAAATAATACAAGTTATTTTACAACAGATTTTATAGTAACTAAATAATTTATTGTTATAAATGTTATCATAAATATACATTGTTAAATTTAGTTAATTCAGTATAGGTTTATATGTACTTTTAATTTTATTTATCTCCATAGGCTTTTGATATAGTAAAACAAGCCAAAGTTGCACAAATTCTTAGTGGATCAACTAGTAGTGTAAATAGTAATGACAGGAGAAACCGATCAAGTCGTTTGATTGGTTCTAGGGAATCGCTGGAGTATGATACCAGTTCTACTGGAACAAAATTAGATGAGGTTTGTAATTACAATTTTTTTTTATTGTTTGTATTTAAATTTGCTCTTAATTTGAATAACATTTAATGCATGTCACATATTAACTATGATATTATTGCTCATTTTTAGTCTTTTATTTCTTTTATGTGTATTTTAGTTTTTTGTAATAAGTTTTAAAATAGAATTATAGCTAGCATTTTATTAACACATTTTAGAATAAATGCTTTTCAATAGTTGTTAACCTCTGTAAACGAATAATACCCTGTAAAGACTTAAGGGTTCTAGAGAATAAATACTGAGCGAGAAGAGAAAAAGTTTAAGAATGTCGGTTATATTTGTTATGACAGAGCGGGGCTGAGTTGGGCAAACAAAGCGGCTTGAAAACAAAACTATTCAGTGCTCTAGGGCTGAACAACTCCTCTTCTGCCTGATAAAATTTATCTGGAGAGAAATTATCGAGGCTGTGGCTGTGGGACATTATTTTATACTAATAAAAATATATATATAATTTTATTGTTTATTATTTTATTTATATATTATTTTTAACATCATACATTTACTATAATTATTATTTATTATTATTATTATTATTATTATTATTATTATTATTTTTTTTTTTTTTTTTGTAATTGTGTTTGATTTGATACAATTTTGAATTTTAATTATTTATTACAAGTTGAATTAATGTGGATAATCAATCAAAATTGGTTTCAAATTTAAAGTAAACCATTTAATTTTAATTAATTATTTTGTAGTATTGAGTAATTAAAAACTGTATTTCTTAGTTTTATTATTTTATCATAATTATTTTATTTTGTCCTTATTATATGTACTGATATCAGACAAGAAACACATTAGTAACACAAATTATTGTGTGTATTTAGTAAGATTTAAAAACAACAACTATTTTCAAAAACACATTCTTAAAAAATTGCACCTTATTCTGCACTTAACAACTATTTCTGGGAATAAATGTTTTAAAAATCTTCTTCTGCCTTATAACATAATATAAATATATATATATATATATATTTATATTTATAATATATGTATGTGCGTGTTATATTATTTTATTTATTATTATTTTCTTTTTTTTGCAATTTTATTTCAGCCTACATTACACATTATTTAAAATAGATAAAATCATAATACATTTATAACCATAGGATAAACAAATATCTATGTTCAAAACAAATTGTGTTTATTTTTACAGAAATCTGGAACAGATGGTCAACAGAAGTAGAGTTTAAATACAATAAATATTATCTACTCGCTTATCCACAGCATATACTTGCACTGCTTCGGCAAACAAGTTATTCATCTCCTAAATGACAAAAACACGGAACGGTCCATTTTTTTTTTACTATTATATATTTTTATGTGCAATAAAATAAATAATTACACTGCAAAAGTAGGTGACTATAATATTATAGACAAATATTCTTGACTCAGCTAACTTATAAAAAACATATTCATGGTTATTCTAAAAAAAGTCAACTTAAAATGTTATTATTAACAAAATGTTTACATTTTCAAAATATGTATAAGTATAACAAAAAACAAATACATTTATTATATACTTAAGTAATATATTTACATTTACACTTATAAATAATAAAAGTAAAGAGTCTATATAAAACTCTATAAAAAATAAAATAACTCATACTGCAGTATTTAAACAAAAAAATATATTTAAAATAAAACACTCATAATTACAAAATATTTATTTGTTATGATCAATTCATACTGAAAAATATGATAAAGAACTTTTATTTTCTACTCATTCTATACCATTATACTAAACAAACAATGTATATTATTTTTAATGTTTAATAATTAATTATTCTAAATAATTTTGAAGGAAATTATGAATTAATGTAAAAAATATAATGTAATAAATATTTTTTAATAATGAGTGTTAATATTCAAGAATAATTTAGTTATTTATTTAAAAAAAAAAATATTTGAATTAATTAATAGATTTCATATTAATATAATAATTTATTGTAGCTTCTTATATATTAGTATAATGCCATTATGAATTTACAAATTAAATTATACTTATTCATTCCTTGTGAGGTTTTAGGTTTTTAAAGAAGTAAATAGATATATATATATATTTTTTTTTATATTCATCTTTTTATATTTAATTTACAATTAAAGTGTTGAATTGGTGCATAATATAAAATCACATAGACACAGAATTTACCATTTTATTAATATTAAATGCCTATTAATTTTTAACAATCATCAATTCAGTATTGAAGTATGATTAATTGATTAGTATTAAACTTCTAATATTCTTAACATCATGTATTCATCATATTTATTTATATATTTTTTTTATTTATGAGTATAATTTATTTAATATTTTTATTTTTATTTAATTACTTAATTTGGAACATATAAATACATTTAAAATATATGTTTTCATTATCATAATTGTGCAATTATTAATAATTATAATATGCTTATGTACCTATGACCCTTTAAGTATATTAGTGATTATCATTTTAATTAGATTTTTATTAAAAATAAATATTATTAGTAAAGTAATATTAAAAACTTAACTAAAAGCTAATTTGACAAATGTATCAAATATTTTTTTTTTATACCTACCATAAGATAAAAAAGACAACCTTTGAAAAACTATTAAAATGTTAATTAGTCTAGAATATATATATTTTTTTATTTATTTAATAAAATATATTACTATCTATTTAATAATAATAACAGAAAAATCAAAACCTAAGTCATAAAATGCATTATTTTATAATAATATTAAATGATTATTAATGGATAGGTACAAGTATGAAGTAAACAATACTGATTTACTCACTATAATTATTAAATATTTATACTACGCTATTTTTTCAGGTTAAAATAATCTCAAATGTCTGTACAATATACATACAATTAGAATTAAATATTTTATTATTTTTGTATACATTTTTCTTTATAATCATCATATATTATTTTATAGAAATGTCAAAAAAAAAAAATAAATAAATAAATAAATAAATAAGATTGCATGCGTCATAATATAATATACTGCAGTGTTTTTATTCAGTATAGAATTTTGATTTATAAATAAATAGATAAGCTGAATCATAGATGTGAACATTAAAGAAAAACATTTCTAATGTTCATGATCATAGATTAAAAATATAATATTATATAGAATCAATAGAATCCAATAGGGTGTTGAACAATGTTCAGCTGTGAGGCAAACCATCATTTGACCTCCCATGCACCCAGTTATTAATTCAATTTTTTTTTATTTATTTAATAGTTTAAATTAAAAAAAGAAAAATTATTATAGAAAATCCAATGTCTGGTATCCTACCCAACTACCAATTTTGGTTTACCTTAAAAAAGACTACTTTGGCATGCTATTGGTTAAATCATTCGGGTTTAAAACAAATAATAAATTTAGTTCACAATTTAATGTTCAAAAACTTATTGAAATTGCTTATGTGTAGTAAGAAAAATAGTCAAGGTTTTCAAATAGTAGTTATTATGGATTAAAAAAAAGTTTTAACAAGTACTTATCGATTACAACCAAGCCTGTACATAAACAAGTAAAAGTTAAAGTTAAGTTAATTTTAACTTTTTAACTAAACTTTTTTAAAATCAATTTTCAATAACTTAATTTTTAACTTAACTGATTTTTATTGGTATTAACTTAATAAATAACGAGTTACTTTTAATCATACCCAAATTAAGTTATTTTAAAAATAAATAATAATTAAATAATAAATATAATACAATTGTCAATTATTATTGATTTATGATTCTTATTGGATAAACATTTATTAAAATTAGAAATAAAATTAAATTCTTGTTCCATAAATTAAAAAATTATATTTTATTTTATTTATCTTTTAGTACCTACTACTTAACCCTTTCAGTCCCCTTGTCCATTGCAATGGACATGTATTTCAATTAATTATCATAAATGCTATGTAATATGTAGGGATGTGAAACTTGAACTATATTTCTTAGAATATTCTTAAGTTTATATTAAGTTACTTTTTATAATAATAACATGTATTAAAATATCATTTTTAAACGATTTATTAAAAATAATATTCAATTATACATGGTCATTGATAATACACCTATGTAATCAATTTCGGATTTTTTTTTTATTTATCTGTGGGATCTGGTAGCACTGGATAAATTGTAAAACGATTAATAAACGTCTTGACTATGGTTTAAAATTATTTGATAAGAAGTTATATGTACGATAATAAGGAAAAACAGCTGAGTTTTCATTGTCCATTGTAATGGACATTATGACCAAAGTGTCGTGTTATTATCACGCACGTGCATCGTTCGGGTTTATTATCAAATTAGATTTACCGGCTATTTTTAGATGTATTTATATTTTTCATAACAAAAGAAATTACATTTTAAGTGAGGCTTATTCTGAAATTTTAAGTATTATTTTTTTTGGAAAAAATTTAAAATGAATAAAATACTAAACGATTTTGATATTGTTGAAATGCTAAATGGTTATGACTCGGAATTGGATGCTTTAGATAGTGATGATGAAAATGGAAATAAGCTCGATGCTCAAGTTGAAAAAGGTAATAAAATTGTAATTAGTGAAAAATTAAAATAAATACATTTGTTTAATAATTAATTTATACACATAGATACATTTCCAATTGAAGAATTCGAAAATTTAATGGAAGAATTTAATGCTGAACATTTAGAAGAAGTAGAGTTGGATCAGTTTGAAGAAAATGTCAACAATATTGAACAAGTAAATGAAAATGACTTAAGTACACCTCACAGTCCAATTGATAATTTAAAATTAACAGAGAAAAAAGATATAAAATGGCAAAGGAGTCCTTTCCCTAATTTAAATTTAAATTTGCAACCAATTGATGATATACAACCTGAAGTTATTGGGTCTGATATGATTGACCCTCCAATAAAATATTTTTCAAAATATTATAGTGATGTAGATTTTCAATTAATGGTTCAATATACTAACATGTATGCATTACAAAAAGGAAAAACTTGGAAAAATACAGATATAAAAGAAATAAAAATATTTATAGGTCTCCATATCATAATGGGCTGTACAAATTTTCCAAGAATCAGAATGTTTCATAATAAGTAAATGTATTCAACTATTTTTTTTTTTTTTTTATATATAATAAATAGATAATTTATAATATATTATATTATATTTATATTTTTTAGTTACTTTTGATTTTAAAAATTTGTTTTTGTTTTTATAAATGGAATATACCATAAGAAAAATAATTATGTTTTAAATATATTGTTCAGTTATACTTAATTTTAGAAAATTGTTCAAGTTTTGTTTTATTTTTATAAAGGATATTATACAAAAATTATTTTATTATTAATTTATGAATGCTATTGTTATAATGAAAAAATTGTTATTATATTTTATACTTTATATGTCTATTTGAATTGTTTAATTACATTTTATTAAGTACCAAACTTAAAAATTTTATTCTCATGTCATTTTTTCCTCCGAGTCATAATGTCCATTGTAATGGACAACCCTCCCATTTTGGCAAAAATGGGTAAAAGTACCCCCAACTTTTTTTATTGGATTTACAATGTTCTAAAAATAAGGTTTCTTGATTTGAATATTTTTTTTTTTACCTATTTCATAATTTGGGACTGAAAGGGTTAATTCTTTTCACCTGTATTTTAATTTTCCAAATTTAGTTATTTTATGTATAGTAAATCTTTTTTTTGGGCTTAATAATGTTTATGAATTTTATAATTTCAAACTATTTTACTGGCTATTTTATATATTAAAAAAAAAAATAATAATAATAAAATAATAACTTAAGTTAATAAGTTAATTGAAAATTTCCATATAACTATTATAACTTATAACTTAATTGAGTTTAAAAAAAAATTAGATTAACTATTAACTTTTACTTTTCAAAATGTATTCTATCAATTAAATAACTTAACTCAGTTAAAAATTATCATAAATTTACCCACGCTTTATTACAACAATATCTATTGTTAATAGTTAGTGTTAAATTTTAGTAAAAATATATTCTATGATTTTTGAGTCCACATAGTGATGTGATAAAGGATATTTTTTTAAATCTGTGCTACAACCAAAATCAATCAGTGTCAGAGATGGTTACTGGTTAGATTTATAATTTTATATTTAGATCAGTGAATTCGAGATAATAAATTAATAACTAGGGCTAAGATTTTAATGACCTAAAAAACCTAAAAACACCTGAAAAATGACTCAATAAGAAAAAATTACCAATAAAATGCTCGAAAAAAATAATTATATTGATAAATTATAATTATTATTTAAAAATGAGTATATAATGCAAATGTTTTTAAGTATAAAGATAAAATAAAATTTTTTATTCACCTTTAGTAGCTGAAATAAAAGTTTAAGTGTAGTAATTAATATTTATGTTTGTTTAGCTATAAGAACATAGATTTGAATAAAAATTACCAATACATATCTCAAATATGTTTGGTATAAGACCGACAATGGAAATATTAGAGAAAATCAACTAAAGACACATTATGGATGAATAATAAGTAAAAAGGCGGAATGAATGAATAGATCAATACAACACGAAACATGAAGAATTTTTAAAACTAACAATAGAAGAAAAAGTAAAAGGAAAGAGTTATAGAGAAAGGCCTTGTTAGGAATACATTCAACAATTAATAAAGGACTATAAGAATGGGACTCATATGTACGATTGAAAATAATAATAGATAATAGAGTAGAGGATGGTTATAAATGAAACTACAGATTGACACTAAAATACTTTAGAGAAATTGAAAATTAATAAATAAAATTAATGAAATTTAACATTTATTTTAAAGGAATTCTAAAAGCAATTGTTGTCAATTAAAAAAAATTCAAACCAACTTTTTAAATTATTATTAATTTACAATCATAGATATCTTTAACTATATACTCAAAATATAAAATTAATCTAATATATTAAATAAAGTTATTACTAAAACTAAAATACAACAACTTACATGTGTCAACTAGAAAAAAAAACACCCGATAGAAACTTATTAGTATTATCATATATTCATTTGTTATGACTTATGACTAAATTATAAAAACTAGTGAACTGTTTGAAAAATTCTCAGTTAATTTATAAATCATTCTGTGCGAGATTAACTTTTAAGTTCAATTGTTTTTGATAGAAATAAAAACAAATTTAATTTGGGCTTTATTTGCATAGGAATTTCCTAGTAGGTACATTAATATATTATTTAATAATTAGTTATCTATAATAGATTATTATAACTATTTTACAACATTAATTATTACGAGCACTCTATAGTATATGAAAACAAAAGGTTATACTATTTGTAAGCCATATCCAATGTGTGCAAAAACATAAAAAATTATGAAGAATTAAAACCTTTTAAAGTAAAAATAGTTAAATAAAAAACATATTGAATAGGTTAGTAGATATTCAAAATCTTCATCATCTATCTAACTACACTGAAAATTGTATCGTATTTGCAATGAAAAATCAACTCAAGATAATATTATTATTACAGTTGCAGTATAGATAACCTAAGTACAATATTTTCGGAAAAGGATACAATCGGTCAAATATTGACGTCCAACGAGTAATCCAGCTTAAAAAGTTTCTTTTCTAACATTTTCAATTGATTACAAAAGAATTTTTTTAAATTAAAAATCATTAGTTATATAAATTTATTAAGAAAACACTCAAACAAAATTAAACTATTTGTATCAATGAAATAGAAAACTTAAACAATAATAGATACATACCACCTGGAAAATAATAAATACATAATAATTAATAATCAATAATTATATTATAGTTTCTTGTAATATATATAGGTATTTAGCTATAAATTATAATATTATAATATGGCTATTTTTTAACGTAATAGTTATTATTTCATGATAATTAACTTATAAAATAAAAATAATTTATTTTTTGCGTCTATTCTAAAATATAATATAATGTATGCATTTGGTCTTTCATATCATCGAAGTAAATAGCATTTCATGGGATTGGAACAAAAAAAAAAGAAAGAAAAAAGATATATCAAAATATAAAATTTATCAGAAGATATAAATTTTAAATTTCAAACTCAAATTTTTGCTAATACTAAGATATGCCCTATACTTTCTATTTTAAATGTTGTTCTGAAATAGATAAATATTGTATCTTAATATTATTCCTAGTTTTTAAAAAGTATTCAAATCATTGTTTTTACAAAAAAAAAAAAAAACATGTAAATTATCTTTAAAATTCACTTATCCAATCCATACAACTAAACTATAAAAAATGAGTATCTTTGATTCTCTAACCATCGAGCACAAAATAAACTTAAATTTAAGAAACGTCATCGAGAGTAACTTGAGTCTCAACCGTACTGAAATTACGAAGAAAAATAATCATAGCTTATTTTGAAAATGTGTTTATAATATTAAGTGTAGTTGTGGTATTCTTAACAAGATCCAATATGATGTACGCTCTAACTCTGGCCAACTTTTTATGTTTCAAACCTAATTTTTTAAATATCAACTCAATTCTTTTTTTTTTATATCTAACTTATATTTCTGTTATTTCTGTCTTCAAATATGGTGAACAATTTGGCTTCATAAAAATATAAAGGTTTATTTTTGTTTTAAACTTTATTACATACAACACAAACTTAAATATAAACTAAACGTGCCTTATAATATTTCTCTAGAAAAATGCATTTTTATTGATGATCAACAGAATCTTGGTCTTATTTTTTAAGCTAAAGTAAATTTACGAATTCTAAAAACTAAACGAATTTTGTTATTGAAATTTTCTAAAACGAATTTAAATATTTACGGATATTTTCAAACCTTTTAGTAAATTTGTTCACAATAACTCCATGGAGATTTTATATAAATATAAACCAGGACTATCAATTTTTTAAACTTTAAATCATACTCGTTTGAACATGAAATAGGTAAAAATCAATATATGTTGATCTAATCTCACATATATTCCCTCCGACGTCCTCAAGGTAGAAATCTATACCCATAATTTTATACATTGGTTATTTCTCAATAATAATATCAAAATTATTATCCTAAGTAGCAATAATAAATAATATGATGTTTATGGATATTTGTGACTTTGTGAGCTTGAATAATACAGCACCAGTAATACTAAACGTATTTGCTCATAGAAAGTGGATTTAACAAAAAAAAAAAATTAGCATTGTTTGGTTCCAAGTACATGCATTTTGTTGAGACAAATTTTAAATTTAGCGCAAATAAAATTAAAAAACTACTTATTTAGTTAAATAATAATAGTTACGTACGAAAATTAGCTGCAAAAAAAAAAGAATGTTATCATAATTATTACTTGAAAAATAATTTATAATACATTATGAGTAGTTATGATTTTCATATATTTGTAAGAAATTAATTTTTAAATTAAACAACTTTAATTTATGTGAATAATTTTAATTCTTTGATAAATCATTTTATACAAAAAAAATATTTTAAATGATATTGTAATATTATAGAGTATAGTTGCAAATAGAAGCATATTAATTGTCCCAAATTACAAATTTAAAACCACATATATCTTTTAATATATAATTTCTTGTTGAGGGTAAATTATGCAATATTTCAAAAGATATTTTCTACATAAAACGACAGTTATAATTTTTCGTTAAAAATAAAAGTAATACATACTTATTTGACCTGTGAACAATAACATTTAATTAATTTATATCCATGTATATTGCACATAATATTTTCTATAAATAGATTATAGACATAAGTATACACACAGGATGTGCAAGGTGTGCCCAGACACGTCTTATGATATTTCGTGGGGCGAAGTGTTCCATATCTCAATCAAATTATCTATTTATTGATTATTATAAATACTCCTTGGTTACCAAAATTAATTTTAAATTATATTTTTAAAGAGGTTTTTAAAAAATAGGATAATTATTTACTAAATACATTCTATTGTTGAAAGTCTGTAGACAGTTTAACATAAAATACATGTAGTGGCTAGTATTATATTTTATTAAGAATTGTTACATTTTAATTGTAATTGTGTACTAAAAAACCAATTTGTTTATTGTTTTATTCATGGTT